GGTACAGGCACCCCATCAGTCCCCCACCCCAGGGAGATGGGCAATGGGCTGTTTGGGGTCTCTGTGGGGTGTTTGGTGTCCCCTATAGGGTGTTTGGGGTCTCTGTGGGGTGTTTGGGGTCCCTCATGGGCTGTTTGGGGTCTCTGTGGGGTATTTGGGGTCCCCTAAGGGTGTTTGGGGTCTCTATCTGGTGTGTGAGTCCCTGGGGACCCCATAAGGTGCTGAGGTGTTCCTTAGAGGGCTCTTGGGGTCCCTATGGGGTGTTTGGGGGCACGTGGGTGTTTGGGGTCCCTCACGGAGTGTTGGGGACCCCCTGACCCCCCCGTCCCCCCCAGATCCTGCTGCCCCTCATCAACCAGTACTTCCACAACCACTGCCTCTACTTCCTCTCCACCCCAGCCAAGGTGCTGGGCAGCGGCTTGCACGCCTCCAACAAGGAGAAGGAGATGATCACCAGGTGGGGGGCACCCCCAGCCCCCCAGTTATGGGGCTCCCCGACCCCCAGACCCCCGGCCATGGGGCTTCTGGACCCCCGGACTCCTGGCCATGGGGCTCCTGGAACCCCACACCCCTGGGCACGGGGCACCCGGACCCCCGGCCCCTTGGGCAATGGGGATGCCCCATCCCACCCCCTGCTCTTGGGGGGCTCCTGGGGTCCCCCTGCACCCCATCCTCTGGCCGAGGGGACTGGGGGTCCACACTGTCCCCTCACCGGGGGTCTTGGGGACCCCCCCTGAACCTTCATCCCCCATCAGCCTCTTCTGCAAGCTGGCTGCGCTCGTCCGCCACCGCGTCTCACTCTTCGGTAAGGGGACCCGGCCAGGGACCCCCATGGGGGGTGGGGGGGTGCCCCGATGGCACCTGACCCCCCCCGTCCCTGTCCCCTTCCCCAGGGACCGATGCACCGGCCGTGGTGAACTGCCTGCACATCCTCGCCCGCTCCCTGGACGCCAGGTGGGACGGGGTCCCAGTGCCACCACGGTGCTGCCCTTGTCTCCACCGTCCCCACAGTGTCCCAGTGCCACCACCCCTGTCCCCATGGTGTCCCAGTGCTCCCCTGATGCAATCCCTGTCCCCATGGTCCCCCCTGTCCTTACAGTGTCCTGGTGCCACCCTGATGCCATCCCTGTCCCTGCCATGTCCCAATGCCACCCTAACGCCATCCCTGTCCCCAAGGTATCCGATGCTGCCCTGGTGCCATCCCTGTCCCCCAATACCCGATGCCACCCCAGTGCCACCCTCATCCCCATGGTCGCCTGTCCCCAACACTGCCAGGGTGGTGGCCGTGCCCCGTGTCCCCAACACTGCCCACGCATGTCCCTGGGGTGGTGGCCATGCCCCGTGTCCCCAACACTGCCCATGCACGTCCCTGGGGCGGTGGCCATGCCCCGTGTCCCCAACACTGCCCACGCGTGTCCCCTGGGCGGTGGCCACATCGGTGCTGAGTGTCCCCCCCAGGACGGTGATGAAGTCAGGCCCCGAGATCGTCAAGGCGGGGCTGCGGTCCTTCTTCGAGAGCGCCTCCGAGGACATCGAGAAGATGGTGGAGAACCTCAAGCTGGGGAAGGTGACGCAGAGCCGCACCCAGGTGAAGGGGGTGGCCCAGAACATCAACTACACCACGGTGGCCCTCCTGCCCGTCCTCACCTCCCTCTTCGAGCACGTGGCGCAGCATCAGTTCGGGGACGACGTTATCCGTGAGCTTACAGGGATGGGGGGACACCATGGGGACGTGTTGGGGACAGGGAGCTCAGCAGGGATGCGGGACATGGGGAGACATTGGGGATGGGGGCTCAGCAGGGACTGAGGACATGGGGATATGTTGGGGACAGGGGGCTCAGCAGGGGCAGGGGACACTTTGGGGACACTTGGGGACAGGACAGCATGTTGTTGGGAAGGTGGCAGGGATGGAGGACGCTTGGGAGATGGGAGGCTTTGGGGACAAGGGGCTGGGGCCAGCAGGGGGTGCTGGGGCAGTTTGGGGGTGCAGGGACCCCTCGGGTATCGGGGACACCGCAGCCCTGACTGTCCCCTGTCCCCGCAGTCGATGACGTCCAGGTCTCCTGCTACCGCATCCTGTGCAGCATCTACTCGCTGGGCACCACCAGGAACCCCTATGTGGAGAGGTCGGGGGCCGGGGGGGCTGTGACCCCCAAACCCCTCTGCCTGCAGACCTGGGGGTGCCCGTGGGGTGCCCATGGCCTTGGGGTGCCCGTGGCCCCTGGGGTGCCTGTGGCTTTGGGATGCCCGTGCCCATGGGGGACCCGTGGCTGTGGGGTGGCCCTGGATTACCTATTCCTGGGAGGTGCCCGTGGATCTGGGGTGCCCATGGCGTGGCCCTGGGGTACCTATGCCTGTGGGGTGTCCATGGATCTGGGGTGCCCATGGGATGCCCATGCCTGTGGGGTGCCTGTGGATCTGGGGTGCCCATGGGGTGGCGCATGGGATGCCCGTGGGTCTGGAGTGCCCATGGGGTGGCCCTGGAGTACCTATGCCTGTGGGGTGTCCGTGGATCTGGGGTGCCCGAGGGTGGCCCATGGGGTGCCCGTGCCTGTGGGGTGCTGCGGGGCGGGGATGAGCCCATGCCCCCATGCCCGCAGGCAGCGCCCGGCGCTGGGGGAGTGCCTGGCCCGCCTGGCCGCCGCCAGCCCCGTGGCCTTCCTGGAGCCGCACCTCAACGAGTTCAACCCCTGCTCCGTCTACAGCACCAAGTCCCCCCGCGAGCGGGCCAGTGAGTGGGGCAGGGCCCCGCGTCCCCCCACGTCCCCGGGGCTGCCCCCCAGCCCCGATGCCCCTCACATGTCCCCAGCTTTGGGGCACCCCCAGTGCCCCCCACAATTGCTCCAGCTTGAGGGTCCCCCATGGTCCCTCTTACCTCCACCTTTGGAGTACCCTGATGCCCCCCAATGGCCCCGGGTTTGGGGCACCCCCACGTCTCTGATGTCCCCCACTTGCCCCCACTTTGGGGTCCCCTCACATCTCCGATGCTCCTCTCACTTGTCCCCACTTTGGGGTCCCCCCATGTCTCTGTTGTCCCTCTCACTTGTCCCCACCAGCTCCGGGGCACCCTGACACCCCCAAATCTCCCAAATTTCAGGGTACCCTGATGCACCCAAACACTGGGACACTCCCTTGTCCCCAAGACCCCTCACTCACCCCCACCTTTGGGGCACTGCCACATCCCCATTGCCCCCCCCAGTTGTCCTTGCTTTGGGGTCCCCCATCCCCTTGCCGTGGGGTGCCCCCCACCCGGTGCCATCCCCGTGTCCCCGCAGTCCTGGGTCTCCCCAGCCGGGTGGAGGAGATGTGCCCCGACATCCCCGACCTGGAACGGCTGATGCGGGACATCGGGGGGCTGGCGGAGTCGGGGGCCCGCTACACCGAGATGCCCCACGTCATCGAGGTGACCCTGCCCATGCTCTGCAACTACCTGCCCCGATGGTGGGAGCGCGGCCCCGACACCCTTCCCCAGGGACCCTGGGCCACCGCCGTCACCGGCCAGCACCTCAACGCCCTCCTGGGCAACATCCTCCGCATCGTGGTCAACAACCTGGGCATCGACGAGGCCTCCTGGATGAAGCGCTTGGCAGGTGGGCAAGGGGCCTGGGTGGGGCTGGTGGCCCTGGGCGGGTCTTGGGATGATGCTGGTGGCTCTGGGCAGGTCCCAAGGACGGTGCTGGAGGCCCTGGGTGGTCCCAGGATGATGTTGGTGGCCATGGGCTGGTACTAGGGATGGTGCTGGTGTCCCTAAGTGATCCCAGGATGGCGCTGGTGGCCCTAGGTGGGTCCCAGCGATAGTGCTGGTGGCCCCGGGTAGGTCCTGGGATAGCGTTAGTGGCCATGATTGGTCCCCAGGTGATGCTGGTGGCCCTGGGTGGGTCCTGGGATGGTGCTGGTGGCCCTGGGCAGGTATAGGGGTCATGCTGGTGGCCCCGGGTGGGTCCCTCGGCTGCAGCCCCCTGTCCCCGTCCCCGCAGTGTTCGCCCAGCCCATCGTCAGCAAGGCGAAGCCGGAGCTGCTGCGCTCCCACTTTATCCCCACCATGGAGAAGCTGAAGAAGCGGGCGGGCAAGGTGGTGGCCGAGGAGGAGCAGCTCCGCATGGAGGCCAAGACGGAGGGGGAGGACGCTGAGCTGCTCATCCGCGACGAGTTCTCCGTCCTCTGCCGCGACCTCTACGCGCTCTACCCCCTGCTCATCCGCTACGTGGACAACAGCCGGTGAGGGGGGCAGAGGGGACGTGGCCATGGGGACGTGAGGATGCTGAGGAGCATCCCTTGGGAACCATGGCCCACCCATGGTGGAGCCAAGGAGAAGGCGTGGGGCAAAACTGGGGGGCGTGGACATCCCCTGATGGTGGCCATTTGAACCAATGATGGTGACCCTGGGGACCCACTGATGGTGGCCATGGGCACCCACTGATGGTGGCCACGGACATCCCCTGATGATGACCCTGGGGACCCACTGATGGTGGCCACGGGGACCCACTGATGGTGGCCATGGGACCGGCAGGGCCAAGTGGCTGACGGAGCCCAACGAGGACGCAGAGGAGCTGTTCCGCATGGTCGGGGAGGTCTTCATCTACTGGTCCAAGTCCCATGTGAGTGGGGGGCACTGGGGACGCGGGGGGGACACCCCGGCAGAACTTCAAGCGTGAGGAGCAGAACTTCGTGGTACAGAACGAGATCAACAACATGTCCTTCCTCACCGCCGACAGCAAGAGCAAGATGGCCAAGGTGGGGGGGGGGGGGACGCAACCCCTGGCTGCACCCCGACCTCCTGCCTGGCACCCCCAGACCCCTTATCCTGCACCCCAATCCCATGGCTGGGGGGTGTCCATCCCTCCCCAAGTCTGGCTGTTCCCCCCGTCCCCCGCCTGTGCAGGGGGCCCCATCCCTCCCCACCCCCC